AGACGAGCGCTTGTCCTAGAAGGAACACTTTGTGAAGTTTTCGCCATTTTCTTGAAGCTTTCGAAGAGATGAAAAGAAAATACAACCAAGGCAAAATTTGAGAAAGATAAGAAATGTTGAAACCTGGAGGGTTCGTTTATACTTTTCCCATGAGGCGGGGCGCGAATCGCGAAGTTACAGACACGAAGCGATAGATAATTAAGAGAAGCATTAAATGCCTGCAGCAGACGTGGTCAGAGCACTCGATGTCTGTTTCAGCGGGTATGGCCCCATAGACGTCACGGGCATCAACGTCACCAATCATATCGTTTATTATCATTACTCTCTATAAACGAGGGTACTATCTGTATTGGGTGATACCCTTTTTTGCTTGAGCCCGACCGGGTTGGGTCCGGTCCGGGGCAAGTCGGGGCCCATCGAACCCGACCTGGATGCAAGGTAGAAACGACGGCCACGTCAACGACCGAGGTCGAGTCATTTCGAGACCGTTGCAGAGCTCGATATGAGTCACCACCGGATGGAGAAAACACACAAGGTCGGAAGCCGGACTCGTAACGGATAACCAAGCGTCGCCGATATCTCGCCCAACGTGATTTTCTCAACACTTCAGGCCATTAAGCGTAATTACAGGGATCCACGATGTAATTAATTTACCTACCTTATTTTTACCTTAATCAGAATGTATAAAAAGGGAGAAGACCCCATAAAGAGGGGATCGGAAACCATAGACTACAGTACCATCTCTCTCATTCTTGTACGGCTATCAAGCACAATTGTTCTAAGCAATATTATATTCTGCGATTATTTACTTTAACAGCAATTGTTGAGTCTTTATCTTTTATTTTCCTCAATCCAAACCTTTTGTATCTTTTAGTTCACGGATCCTTAAAACCCCATATAAATCAATTGTTATCCGGATTCCAGGGTAAACAACTTTTGAAATGAAATTACATTTTTTTTCCTTATTCTTTCTGTCTTCTGAATTCAAAGTTCCCATCAGTTCATCTGGGGTTTCACATTCTTTAAAAGAATGTTGGGTTTTTCCAAAACCAATCCCAAAAAAAAGAGAGGAGAATGTTGGGTTTTTATTGATTTGCTTGTAAGGATTCAGAAAATTTTTAATTCTTGATGTGCCATTTTTTTTTTTTAATAACTGGAGTATTTCAAAGTTCTAACAGAAGTAGAAGGAGAGAGTTATTCAGAAAAAGAGGATTCAGTGATGGCTACAAGAGGTTTGTGTTCTCCAGAGAATTTACAGAGGTTAGAAAAATTCCCCGTTTTTCTGTCTATTTTAATCATATGGTTTTTTGTTTCCAACAAACTCTTTGACTGCTGTCATCTTTTTCTTAAGGGTTTTATTCTTAGAATTGTCAAATCTGATGGTGGTTTTTTTTTTTTACGGAAACCAATATTTTTTTTAACTTGGGGTGGGGGTGGGGGGTGGGTTCTGGTTCTTGGTTAAAATGATTTTGACTTTAATGGTTATTTCTTCATAATTTTATGGCCTCCTTTCAAATTTCATGCTACCCATGGCTCTTTTTATTTTTATTGTTTATGTACAAGAAGCCTAATTTATCATAATGAAACTATATAGAACAAATAAGTCAAATAGAGTAAAGAATAAAGTTAATTTGAAATAATATCTGCTGAGATGACACTCTCATTGTCCACTAAAAGAGAATCGTCAGTAAGAGGTTAATTGAGTATCTTGTCTCCTAATTTTTCTGTTTCAAATACGGATGATTGTCTTTTTGTCAGTTTGGTTGTTACTGTTATTGTTTTTCTGGGTGTCTCTTTAATTGTACTGGTGTGCAGAACAAAGAAGATTGAAGGTATATAGGTGGAACCGATTTCAACCTAATAGTTGGGCACGGCTCGCTTTGGCCGTTTGACCCTTACATTTATTCTTATTGACCTTTTCGCTTCGTTCGAGGTGATCTAGTATACCATGATTTACCCTTAGATACCTTTGTAGTAGCACGATGTTCTTGCTGCCTCGTTAAAAACCTTGCCGAAAAACCCGAGTTGGGACAAAAACGGTCGAAGGAAAAAAGAGTGCAGCTCGTGCTTTCAGTCTCTCCGATGTCCGAACTTGTCTTAGCGACCGATCATCGACCTGCACGGGTTAGGATCGGACAAGTCTCAAAAAATTTATGGAAGCGAGGAAGAAAGAAGACTTACCTTTAGCAGTAGTATCTCTTCAAGTGGCCTATATTCCAGTTATTGGGTAGTTCTTTCCCATCCATCGTTCCTAACTTGTACGAACCCTTTCCGGTTACCTTCAAAATGGTGTAAGGGCCTTCCCAGTTCGGTCCTATCATCCTGATACGGCCGATATCTTTCCTTGTTCGGTCTCGAATCTTTGTAGTTTTCCCTACGAGGTCGATCGAAATTCCTATGTGTGGATGGTGAATCCGAACTTGCTCCGTTGTGGTCGTCCTCTACCCTTATCTTCGATTGGTACCGGTTATGGATGTCTGCCCACGTAACTGCTGGAAACTCGATCAGACTTTGCTTTAATTGCCTGGATGCGGCTGAGCTGTTGGCGTTCAATCCTTGAGTGAAGGCTTGTACTGCCCAGTCATCCGTGACTGGGGGAAGATCCATCCTTTCCATTTGAAATCGAGACACAAATTCCCGGAGTGTCTCGTTTATGGCTTGTCGGACCTTGAATAGGTCGGATTTCCTTGTTTCTACCCTGATCGCCCCGGCGTGAGCTTTCACGAAGGCATCGGCTAACATGGCGAACGAATCGATGGAATTTGGCGGTAAGTTATGATACCACGTCATTGCCCCCTTGGACAAGGTTTCTCCAAACTTTTTCAACAAAACTGACTCGATTTCATCATCTTCGAGGTCGTTTCCCTTAATCGCGCATGTGTATGCTGTCACATGCTCGTTTGGGTCCGAGGTCCCATTATACTTCGGGATATCGGGCATTCTAAATTTCTTAGGGATAGGTTTTGGGGCGGCACTGGATGGGAACGGTTTTTGTACAAACTTTTTAGCGTCAAGGCCTTTCAGGACCGGAGGTGCACCTGGTATTTGGTCGACCCTGGAGTTGTATGTTTCTACTTTTTTATCGTTGGCCTCGATCTTTTCCTCCCCCTTTTCGATTCGTTCGGTCAATTCTTCTAGCCTCCTAAGAACCGCAGAATCAGCATCCGGCCCACCCCGTTCCGGCTGTACTGGGGTCGGATTGATGGTTGCAGCTGCACGGGGAGCCTCCTCGGACCTGACAGGCTCCTGGACCCGGCTCTGGAGCTGAGCTATAGCCGATTGCTGGGCTTGCAGCATGTCAAAAATCATTTTAAGGTTGATAGTCTCTTCGCCGACTGCCTGGGCCCTCGAATCGTCCTCTCCCCGGACGCTATGTGATGATCCGGAGGCCTGATCAGTGTTGAGCGCCATCCGGGAATCGGCATCTATCGGGTTTTCGAGCCCGGGCATTCCATTGTTTCCTGTCTGCTGTTCAAGTTCGTTGTTGATTGATTGTGCCATTCTATGAGTTGGTAATTTGAATGTAAGATGGACTCTTTTGCAAAGAACCAGTGTACTGTGATGCGTCAAGAAAGAGTATCAAAGAGCTCACTAATATCCTTAGCCCCACGGTGGGCGCCAAACTGTTTACCCTGGAATCCGGATAACAATTGAATTTATATGGGGTTTTAAGGATCCGTGAACTAAAAGATACAAAAGGTTTGGATTGAGGAAAATAAAAGATAAAGACTCAACAATTGCTGTTAAAGTAAATAATCGCAGAATATAATATTGCTTAGAACAATTGTGCTTGATAGCGTACAAGAATTGAGAGAGATGGTACTGTAGTCTAATGGTTTCCGATCCCCTCTTTATGGGGTCTTCTCCCTTTTTATACATTCTGATTAAGGGTAAAAATAAGGTAGGTAAATTAATTACATCGTGGATCCCTGTAATTACGCCTTAATGGCCTGAAGTGGTTGAGAAAATCACGTTTGGGCGAGATATTCGGCGACGCTTGGTTATCCGTTACGAGTCCGGCTTCCGACCTTGTGTGTTTCTCCATCCGGTGGTGACTCATATCGAGCTCTGCAACGGTCTCGAAATGACTCGACCTCGGTCGTTGACGTGGCCGTCGTTCTACCTTGCATCCAGGTCGGGTTCGATGGCCCCGACTTGCCCCGGACCGGACCCAACCCGGTCGGGCTCAAGCAAAAAGGGTATCACCCAATACAAAAGTATCTTAGGCTAAAGCCTTACAAACAGTAACCAGTCCACATCCAACACTGAAGGCCAAACACATCTAACAGGTGAAACAGCATTGCTTTTTCCAGCAAGCACTTTAAATTCTTGTTTTAGGGTAATCAAATCCAGAATTAACCATAACATGAAGATAGCTATAAAGAGATTCACAAACACCAGGCCACCACAGGAATTTCAAATACCTAGAAAAAGAATTACCAGCACATCCTTCACCATGAGCTGGTCTATATTGCAGAAACATGGAGGGAAAAATAAGTGCAAAATATATCATCACACACCTGAATATTTGAGGGTTATGTTCAATATCCCATCAATGAGTGGATAGACCACCAGAGCCTTTTAGCTAACCAGAAGTAGATCCTGTATATGGAAAAGGGCCTTGGTTAAAAGAATATTGTGGGTGGTGCATAGGACACAGAGATGATTCAAAGTAATTGGCTGATGATGCATTCACTGCAATGATAAGAAAAACAAAACAAATACAGAAACTGGAACTAGGCATCTTCAGGCAATGTCTAAATATAAAGGGTTCTGAAACAGTCACTGATAAAAGTATTGAAAAAAGACATCAGCTTAACAAATAAATAAAAACAAAAAGAACAATTTTCATCAGTGTGATTTACACTGGAAGCAGCAGTGATTCCTAGTAACACTCGATGGATAAAAACACGCAGGACAATTACTCTGTAAGGTAAGGCCGCACACAGGAAGGATGCACTGAAAGCATGAAACAGGATTTAGATATTTAAAAGCATGTCTACAAGAAGATAAACTAATTTCCATTGAATTGGTGGAATACAACCTTTGACAACCTGACATAGTATATCATAGTACTCTTTTTTAATAAGTAGAAGTATTATTAATAGAAACTCAATACCAAGCTGGTACTGAGACAAAGTTCAACAAACAGAACTAGATTGGAATCCTCTAAAGCTGTAAGGATTCAAGAAAATCCAGCATTACATAAAGACCATAAGAAAATTCAGCATTTCACCAAGTTTTTAAACTTTGAATGCATCTATTCTTCAGCAACAAAATATTCTCTTCCTTCACCCCAAAACATCTTTTGTTCCTCTTGAGCCAAACATGTTATAAAATGCATAATGGATGGTCCTACGAGTCCTCTTCTTCACTTTCTTCATCCTCTGACTTCGCCAACTGCTTAACACTAATTTCACATCTGTTGGCATGATCCATTGAATCCCCTACAAGTTAAGAAACATACACCATATCTTCCAAACAAATTTGCATTGTAATAGAAGATGATTCACTGTTTTCTTTGCATTAGTATAACATAGTACTCTATCTACCTGAGAGGAGGAAAATTGCTGCCAGTAACGAAAAATTCGCCCATTAAAATGCAAAACAAAAGTATATTCTGCTTTACACCACAGACAAAATAACTCTCTCTTCAACAACAACAACAAATCCAGTGAAATCCTACAAGTGGAGTCTGGGGAGGGTAGTTGTACGCAGACCTTACTCCTACCTTGTGAACGTAAAGAGGCTATTTCAGACAGACCCTTGGCACAAGGGAAAATAACTCCCTCTCTAACAGTTGAAATTCATGACCAACAATAAAAGATCATTTCTCCTATAACTTTCATTAGAAAAAGTTCTGTATATAATGAAGTAAAAGAAAGGTCTTTCATGGATAAAAGCAAGTGATAAAATAGAAAAGTACCACCAGCAGCATTCTTCTGATTCAATATTGTTAATCAACATTAATATCACAATAAGAATCTTTTTCCTCCATATTCTTTTTTCATCCTATTAGTTTAGTTGAAGCAAGTTCAATACTATCATATGCAATCTATACATAAATGTGAAAAGGTGCAATTCTTGTAATTAGCAGTAAAAAGGACCCTATAATTGACCAACTTCAACAATGCATAGTATTTACCTGAAGGTCAGCTACCAATTTGACGGAATAAAGCATGTGTTTGCCTAAAATGAGAAGATGATGAAATACAATTAGACAATCAGGCATACATTGGGCATCAACGCATGCACATTCAATGAAATAGACCTAGTTCACTATGTCTCCAACTATACACCTAATTTTAAGCAAACTAGAAGCTTTGAGACCATTAAAAATCAAAATTAAAATGAAATAGACTACAATATCAATGGTACCTTTGAAGAATCAGTCGCTTCACCATTATTCTCTTCATTTAATTTGTTTTCCGCTCTTAAATTTCTGCATTTTCATATGGTTGTAAGGGTGTTCAGGGAAAGCAGCAAAACAGAACCAAATCCAAAGAAAAAACGACAATTTCTCAGTATAATTTCGTTTTTTATTTTATTATTAAAAAATAAATAAAATTTGGTTTAGTTTTGGTTTTAAGTAAAAACAATCAAAAAATCAATATACATTTTTACATTTTTTTATATTTACAATATAGAATATAAAGATAAAGAATTACACGTTAAATAATCAATTCTTTGATTTGTAGTATAGTTCTTTGCCTTTATAATAATCTAATTCTTTGTATTTATATTCTAATTTGATTTGTATTCTTTTGATAAGCCCAACTGTTCAATAATCTATTTTATGTTAAAAGTAACTTGTTTTTGAGTCCTTAATTCTTCATCGTTCAATTAATTATCATCAAAATATTTGATAAATAACAACTCTTCATTTTTTTGCACAAAAGAAATTCATTGCAAAAAGTTTTATTAAGTTATTTGACAGGCAATACGCTTTTGTAGCTGAAGCTACATATAAAACTTGATCGCATATACATTTTCTGATTTTTTTAAGGTTGAATTACACATAAGTACAATTCACACACATACATTGCGACTGAGTAGCTCAGTTATAACTTTACAAATTTATAGCCCAAAGACAATAGGCCCAAATCCGAAAACCCAGCATTTTTTTACACAATTAGCATTTCTTACGGTCAATGCTATTCAACATTCCTATTGTTGAGGAGAGATTATGTACTCATCTCCTACCAAAATTAGTGTTTTACTATTAACTTTATGAGACAATTAATAAAAATATATGTAAATATAAAAAAAGAAAGAAAAAAGAAGAACTGGTAGCGTTTTCCCCCTTCGTCAGTTGCAGAGAATTTGCTGGAATTCAATTAAATAGTTACTAAACATATAATATATGAATATAAAAGTAGAAGAAATCGATGGAACAATTAGTAGAATATACATTCATTTATAAACAAATAAATAAAAATTATTTTTGCTGCTCTTTTGCTTTGTCAATGATAGAACAAATGGTAATTCCTTCTTATATACACATCATTGCTAGATTTTAGTTCTTTATTTTTTTTCTTCAATGATGTCATTAATAGAGTTTAACCGAAAACAGAGAATAAGTTAAAAACAAGTAAAGGACGTTGTCCAGCTTGAGAAAAGGTAAGAAAACACACAAAAATTTAATTTCGTCGTTGTACATTCTTATACACTGATATACACATAATTATACAAAATTATATACACTTGTATTTATAATGTCTAAACAATGTGCTTATGTTGTATAATTGTGTATAAACAATAATTATATACGTTTACAGATAAAATACCTTTTAGCTACCATTACACCTCAATTTTAGCACTAAAATCATGAAGAAGAAGAAGAAGAAGAAGTTAGTAATCCACCAAATACGTGTAAATAATGTATCAGCATGATATAATAGTGTATAAGAGATGTTTATACACTCATATACACTATTATACAATATTACACATTGTCATACCAATAAATCCTATAAATGGAGCTTCACAAGTTCTTTTACTTCTTCTTTCTTGAGCCTCTTCTGAAATTTAACTTAAATCTAGATCAAATCTGCTTCAAATCTCTTCAAATTTAAGTTTTGAACTCCTCTTGATGTTTCAATGTAATACCCCATAATTTAACCCGAGGACAAATTGGTCATTTAGCTAACAAAAAAAATTAAAAAAAAATGGAACAAAAAGGGCCGAAGCCCACCAGAAACAATCTTGCAACACTCAAAAGGGTTTAGAGGAATGAAGCCAAAGGCTTCAAGAAAAAAAGAAAATAAACAGTAGTAGCCGTCAATCAAAGTTTCAAAAGAACGAACCACGAAAAAGCAACTGAAGAAGGAAATTTCACCTCATAGTTGCTACCCGTGAAAGCACTCTTCGACTTAAAGGTCAAATTTTCCCTTCCTTTGATTCTACTTGGGTTTGTATGATTTCTTTTAATTTTGATCACGCTGTTTATGAGATTAAATTGAATATCGAAAGTTTAATACCGGCAAGAAATATTATAAGCCACAATATTAGTCAAGTTCCTTCTAATTCACATGATTAATGAGATCGAAGGGTATACTGAATAGACAATACGAATGCGCTTTAATTAGAAGATAATGAACTGGTTTGGGTTAATTGTAGCATGAGTAGATATAAATTTTCATAGGTCGAGGTAAACAGTAATTTGCAACTCAAAAGTAGTTTGATTCAACTCATATAGATATGAGAATACCCATGAATAACTAGAATCTTTATTGTGAAATAGGCTAAGTAGCAAACAAGGCGAACCGTATCAAATTAATATTTTTAATAATTTAAGTATATAGTCAAAATTAGGGTTGTACAAACCAAACCGATAACCTGCACCAACCCGAAAACCCGAGTCAACCCGAAAAAAAAAATCCGACTAGTGGTTTGGTTTGACTTGGTTTGGTATTGAAAAATAAAATCCGACCACAATAGGGTTGGTTTGGTATTAACTAAAAAAAGTCAAACCGAAACCAAACCAACCCGACATTACATGTATACATATTTTATATATTAGATAGATAAAAATATTTATTAGAATGTAAGTTATAAATATTTCCTAATTTTTATTATAATTCTGTATATAGCATAATATTTTAAGTTGGTATTATAGCCCATGTAAATGTTTGTTTTTGTTTGGCCCATAAAAGAATAATTGAGCCCAAACCAAAACCTAATCCTAAAGCAACAATAGATTGTCCTAAAGCTGTTCTGAAACTAAACAATTGAAATCATCTTGCCTCTTCTCCAAAAGCAAAAAACATACGCTCTTCATTTGCTCAAACCCTATCATCGATAAAGCTCTCATTGGTAAAGCTCTTTTGCTCTCATTTTACATGTTTCTTTTTAGCTTGCATACATATAATCTTAAACAG